GATACACTTTAAGTGGTGTGTGGAAAAATAGGCAGATAAAGTTTTTTCATTAAAATGTTTGCAATAATTACATTTTGTAGTATAAAAACATTATCAGTGTGTTATGATTGGCTATTTGGTGTTCATGTTTGATGATTGGCTGCCTCATTGTTTCCTGCACCACTGCACACCTGAGGAAGATTCATGAGCCACTGGGGCTTTATAAGGCATCCTGACTGTCAGATCTTTGCTGGTGTGGCGGTATGCACCTGAAAGTTGTTTGTAATCCGCCAATAAACGAAAAGAAGAAAGATCTTTGCTGATATCTGCTGCTGAATCATCTCTAAAAAGACTAGATGTTATCCAAGTTAGAGCACCTAGATTATGTATTGGAGCTGTCAAAACATCTCCAGTGTGTGCAATTTTAGTTGAATCAGGAGAGTTACCTTTATGTTTGCGTAGAAAAGTATTGGATTAATCTTGCAGGTCATTTTATAGTCATCCAACTAAATCTGTCTTACAGGAGTCATGGGAAAGGCATAGGAAACAATCATTAACGGGAACGTCAGACTTTTTAAATGTTTTTTCAGTCGAACTGTATGCCACATACAGTATATGGCTTTAGAATGGATAAAATTATCCTCTATATTCAACATTATTATTTGCAGTGATTCCGTTTCTTCTTTGTCCTGTATTGGATGAGGAGCATCAAAATCAAGACAGGATTTATTAATCAGAACTTTGATAGTTCATTCTCAACTGGTTAGGGAAAGAAAAAATGTTGTGTTTATGTGGGTTCCTGCACATAGAGGGGTTCAGGGAAATGAAAAGGCAGATCAGATAGCTAAACACACTCTTAACAGGGAAAATATAGACATTAATATTCAGTTATGTAAATCAGAAGGTAAAAGTATTGTTTGGAAACATATAAATCAGACATGGCAACAGCAGTGGTAACAAGAAACAAGGGGAAGACATCTTTTTGCAATACAGAATGTAATTTACAGACCCATGTATAGGGGAGGAAATAGGAGGGAGGAATCAATATTGACAAGATTAAGAATAGGTCATACAAATCTAAATAGTACTTTATTTCTCATAGGGAAACATAATAATGGATACTGTGATTTTTGTCAGAGTATGGAAACTGTGAATCATGTTATTATGGACTGTTGTAAATATTCAGAAGAAAGGAAACAGCTTCTGGACCAAATGTCCACTGGAATAACAAGTGCTGTTTGTTTGAAGGAAGTATTGGAATGGCGATCTAGTAAAGGTGGGCAGAAATATTTTATGTATTATCTGAAGGTAACAGGTCTATATAAGAGGATATAAGTAGTAAAAGCTAGCTCCAGTAGATGGCGGTAATACACCAAATGGATGTCAACTGCTGTTAAACCTCACAGAAGAAGAAGAAGAAGAAGAAGAAGAAGAAGAAGAACATCTTTGCTGATACATCTTACCATTCTGGTAGTATCCAAGCCACACTCAGCTTCTAAGTTTAGAAGATTGTACTTACCTTCATGTCCTGTTTCCTAAGGTGGATTTACCTCGCTGACGGTTCCTCTCCTTGTTCCTGCAAAGAAAGAGAATTCCAATCAGGTTTGACAATCATTACCTCCTGCCAAAGCCAAAAGCCTCGAACACCTCTTCATGTTTATGCCACGCTGCCTAAAAGGAACTCACCTGTGTCTTCGGATTCCTCCTCCGTTCTGTGCTGCTCGCCTCCAGAAGACCTGTAAGACAAGAAACACCTTAATTAACATTCAATTATCTCTGAAAAGAAAAACTGAACCTTTCAAAATACTCACCTCATCTCCTCATTCCCTTACAGCTGATGACCCGCTACCCTGCACCTGTAAATAAAAAGCACTTACCTTTTTATTTCTGTCTCCTGGTCTGGTTCTTAGTTCCGCTGACTGTTGAACAATTTTGTAAATCATATCAGAATGTATCAGCCAACAAGTTCAACAAGCGGAGCTGGGACAGATCCAGTAGCCATAAATATTGAAACTCAACTTAACCGCTTAGACACTCATGAAACATATTTACAACAATTAATTTCGCAACAGCAAACCTCCAGTAGTGTTTTAGATAGATTATATGCACATATGGTTGCTATAGACAACAAATTGGCTACTCTCCTGCCCTCTGCTGCCGCTCCCGTCTCTGTTTCCACTACTCCTGCTGTTCATAGAGAACCAGAATTCCATCCCTCTGGGTTCTTCGACGGAGATTTGGACCATTGTGGAGGTTTCCTGCTTCAGTGTCGTGTGGCAATTTCAAGATCTCCTTCCTTGTTTCCCGACAGTAAAGCTAAAATCACTTACATTGTCAATGCCCTTAAAGGAAGAGTCCTTAGATGGGCTCACGCTTTCCTTCAGTCTCATTCATTTGAAACGCTAACCTACCAATGTTTTCGTCAGGAGTTCAGAAGGGTTTTCGATCATCCTCTCCAGCAGGAGGCAGCAGTGAAGAGGATTCTGTCTCTCCGCCAAGGAAAGAGGTCAGCTGCGGATCATTCTGTGGACTTCCAGATCAAAGCAGAGGAAACCGGTTGGGACGATATCTGGCGCTAAAGGTGTTTTTCTTAATTCTTTATCCGACCAATTAAAAGATCAGTTAGCAACAAGAGATGAACCTAGTAGTCTCGATGAGTTAATCAACTTAACCATTAAGATCGATAACCGACTCAGAGAGCGCAAACGTGAAAAAGACTCCAGTTCCCATCAGCCTTGGGTTTCCTCTACTCACCCCACTTCTGTGTTCTCGTCAACTGAATCAGCTACACCTTTGTCTGAATCAGAACCCATGCAGCTCGGTAGAGCTCGTCTTTCTTCTGCAGAAAGACAGAGACGCTTCAAAGCCAGAGAATGTTTCTACTGTGGTTCAAAGGATCATTTCATCACAAAGTGTTCATCGCGGGTAAAAGCCAGGACCCATCAGTAAAGGAGACAGTTCTGGTGGGTCATGCCGATTTAAAATCTGTCTCACGCTTTACTCTACACACCACACTGATACACAAACAAAGTAAAGTTACTGTTCATGCCTTGGTGGATTCGGGAGCTGAGCAAAATCTTATCTCTGTTGACTTGGTTAAAGAATTGAATATCTCTGTAGAAAACATTGACCGCCCTCTGCCTGTGATTGGAATAACCGGAGAAAACATCACCAAGATTTCTCATAAAGTAAACAACCTTCTGGTCCTCACATCTGGTAATCATCGCGAAGAGGGTGAGTTTTTTGTGTTTAGTTACCCTACTTCTCAACTCATTCTGGGTTATCCATGGCTTAAGAAACACAATCCTGCATTTAACTGGGCTAAAAGTAGCATCGAAAGGTGTAGTGACTATCGTTTAAACAATTGTTTATCAGCTGCTATTTCCCCCTGCTCTGTCATTCCTGTTGTCAATGAAAAGACTGACTTGTCCTCCATTCCTAGTGAATATCATGACCTTGCCCCAGTGTTTAGTAAGTCTCAGGCTCTGTCTCTCCCACCACACAGACCTTATGATTGTTCGATTGACTTATTACCTGGAGCTCCTCTGCTGTCCAGTCGCCTTTACAACCTGTCTGGACCGGAGAGGGAATCTATGAAAAACTATATCGAAGAGTCCCTGACCTCTGGTATCATTCGTCCTTCCACCTCCCCTCTAGGGGCAGGATTTTTTTTTTTGTTGGCAAAAAAATGGTAGCCTGAGACCATGTATTGGCTATCGTGGACTTACTGTAACCAGATTACTGTAAAGAATAAATACCCATTGCCCCTCATTGACTCAGTCTATCAGCAACTTCACTCAGCTACAGTGTTTACCAAACTGGATCTAAGAAATGCTTACCATTTGGTAAGAATCAAAGAAATGGATGAAAGGAAAACTGCTTTCAAAACACTTCTAGGACATTTCAAATACCTCGTAATGCCATTTGGCCTTACCAACGCCCCGGCAGTTTTTCAATCCCTTATCAACGACGTGTTAAGGGATTTCCTCAACTCATTCGTGTCCGTCTACTTAGACGACATACTCATTTATTCACAACACCACTCAACACATCCAATATGTCAGAGCAGTACTTCAGCGACTCCTTGAGAACCAGTTGTTTGTCAAAGCTGAAAAGTGTGATTTTCATGTATCGTCAGTCTCTTTTTTGGGATTCATTTTTGGCAAAGGTTATTTTCAGACTGATCCACAGAAGGTGAAGGCGGTGGCAGGCGGTGTTCCCTCCAATCGACGACAACTGCAATGTTTCCTGGGGTTTGCAAACTTCTATCGACACTTCATAAAAGATTTCAGCCAGATTGCCGCCCCACTTACCCAACTCACCTCCACTCCAAAGACTTTTCGTTGGAACCCCAAAGCCGATGCAGCCTTTGGTGAGTTAAAGAGAAGATTTATCACAGCACCCATTTTACACCATCCTGTCCTCTCAGATCAGTTCATTGTGGAAGTTGATGCCTCCGATACAGGAGTGGGAGCTGTCCTGTCACAGAGGTCGTCTGAAGATGGTAAGGTCCACCCTTGTGCATATTTTTCCTGTCGCCTGTCACCTTCTGAACGCAATTACGATGTGGGCAATCGTGAGTTGTTGGCCATCAAATTGGCACTGTAAGAATGGCGTCACTGGCTTGAAGGCACAGAGGCACCATTTATAATATGGACTGATCATAAGAATCTGTCATACTTAAAGTCTGCAAAGAGATTAAATCCCCGTCAAGCTCGCTGGTCCTTGTTCTTCACCAGATTCAATTTTACAATAACCTACAGACCTGGTTCACGCAATATTAAACCTGATGCTTTCTCTCGTCAGTTTTCTTCAGAAGACCAAACCCAGAAAGAGGACAGCATCCTCCCATCCACCTGTTTTGTTGGAGCCCTAACTTGCCCCATTCAACAAGCCATCCAAGAAGCCCAGCAAGCTGAGCCAGACCCTGGTGGAGGTCCTCCTGATTGATTGTTCGTTCCCTCTACTGTAAGAGGTAAAGTTTTGGACTGGTTACACAACAGCAAGTTTTCATATCACCCTGGTACTCATCGTATGATCTCCCAAGCAGCACGTTGTTTTTAGTGGCCCACACTCATCAAAGATATAAAAGAATACGTCACAGCATGTACAGTCTGTGCCCATAACAAATGTAGTCACCAGGCTCCATCTGGACTTCTCCATCCCTTGCCCATTCCTAGACGACCCTGGTCTCACATCTCGTTGGACTTCGTTACTGGCCTCCCGACATCCCATGGTAATACCACCATACTCACCATTGTTGACCGATTTTCTAAGATGGCCCATTTCATTGCCCTACCCAAGTTACCCACCACCATAGAAAATGCTCAGTTATTGTCTAATCATGTTGTTAGACTCCATGGCATTCCGCTTGATGTTGTGTCAGACAGAGGACCCCAGTTCATCTCTCAAGTTTGGAAAGCATTTTGTAATGCCTTAGGTGCCACTGTTAGTCTGTCATCAGGCTACCACCCGCAGTCTAATGGACAAACAGAACGTTGCAATCAAGAGCTGGAGGCCTCTCTTCATTGTGTTGCCCACCAGAATCCGTCCCTTTGGTCTCAGCATCTTTGTTAGGTTGAATATGCACATAACACCCATACCTCCACCTCTATTGGTCTTTCACCATTTGAAATTTCCCTAGGATATAACCCTCCACTTTTTCCACTGGTGGAGTCAGAGTGTTCTGTTCCTTCTGTTCAGCATCACATCCGCAGGTGTAGATGTATCTGGCATCAAACCAAACAAGCACTCCAACAGACTGAACAGAACAAGAAAAGAGCAGACCGGCACCGTTCTGAGGCACCAAGATATCAAGTCGGGCAAAAGKTATGGCTGTCTACTCAAAATATTAAACTGAAAGACTCTTGCAGAAAGATGTCCCCCCGTTTTATTGGACCCTATGTGGTGGAACGGATCATCAATCCAACCTCCGTACGTCTGACACTTCCCAGGTCTATGCACATTCATCCAACATTCCAT